CACACACCCAAACAGACCCTCCCTCTCCAGGCAGACCAGCGCCCATATTGCCACAGCGAGGCAGATGAGAGTTTCTGGGGAGCCGGCAGAGATGAGGACAAGGACCACCGGCCATCGCAGAGGGGGCACATTTTAACAGCCTGAACAGGAGGTAGGAGAGCAGATCTTCTGAACACCCCCTTATTTGTTCACCCCCAATAGCAAAGCCCAGCCCTTAAGAGGCACCCAGGGGAAAGGGGCTGATGTGACCAAGAAAATAACGTCTCCAGAGTGACTAATGCCCCACTGGGACGGGCTTGACTTGGGCCTGGCTGCCTGCCACAGGGACCACAACCACTTTCCAAGGACATGGAGGGCAAATGTTCCTGACAAGATTCCCTGAGAGCTGTCCCTTCCCAGCCCTGCCTCTCCCTGGGGCTCCCCCAAGGGCCCATGAAGCCCTGAGTAAGGACATCCAGGGGCCCAGAGGCTGAGTCACTCCCTTGGGGCCAACCTGGGTCATAACAAGTTCGTTATTTCAAGGACAAGTTCTCAAACCCCTTATCCAGTCATGCACCAGATGGGAACCGACAAGCGAATGTCCATAAGCAGTTGTGGGAGACAGGCCTTCCCCCAAATCCGTTTCCTCTGGGTCAGAGGCCCAGAATGCCCTGTGAATATACTTTCAGCACACATGGAAGAGGCTCCTCCCTTCCCCAGCCCTCAGAGGGGGGCGGTATTTCTGGGCCGGGGGCCCCCCACCAGCCTTCAGCTCTCCTCAGCAGGCCCCAGGGACCCCAAGCCAGGGGCCTCCTACAGAGCCATTTTCTGAGGCATGTCGGCCATCCCTTCAGAGTCTAGGGAGGGGTGGGGGCAGCAGGAGGTTGGGGGCCTGGAGCAGGGGGAGGGCAGCAGGAGGCGGGGAAGGGGCAGCTGGGCAGAGCCAGGTCACCCAGGCAGGAGGCCACAGAAGGGAGCTGTGGATTGCTCCAAGTTTTTGATGTGCCTCCTAGCAGAGGGGGTGTCTAAAACCATTTCAAAAGCTGGGGGAGGCCCAGAGAAGGGGCCCCCATTCTTTGTGGGGAGGGGGAATTTCAAAGGAGACCACGCTGTTGAAAAGGTTTCAAAAGACCCTTGCTTTTCTACCAGCTCCAAATCACTCCTTCCTCAGCAGCCGCCAGGGGAGGGGTGCTGGGGAAATGTTTCCAAGGAGACATGCCCTGAGTCATCATAACTCTCAGGGTCTGGAGGCTGCAAAGCCACAAAGAGGCCCCCCCGCTATAAAAAGGCCAGTTTAGAGTCCCCCAGGGGAGGTCTCCAGCCGTCTAGGCCCCTGGGGAGCCTGCCCCAGACCCCCAGTGCCCTGAGTTTATGAGAAGGCCGCCAAACCAAACAGTGCCACTTCTACCAGCTGAGTCCCCTTGGTGCCACTAAGGGGGGCTTTTACCCCCGCTGACTGCAGGCGGCCACTCTGGGGCATGGGCCACTTAGCAGGGGAAACTTTCCACAGGGACACTGGGCCCCAACACTTTGTACTGGGATTGGAGAGCCAGCCCCCAGCCAAGTTCCTGTACCTACCTCTCTTCCAGTCACACTCCCCAAGTCACCAGAGCCAGCACGACACACAGCACAGGCCAAGTATAAATTCCATTGCCTCCTTCCACACTTCTTCCCGGCCTCCTGCCCTCAGCCCCAGGCCAGACCAGGAGGCTCGTCATTCCCATCTTGCTCCCCCTCAATACTGCAGCCAGATTCATCTTCCTAAAACACTTAGCTATGCCCTGGCCAGACTGCTCCACAACCTTCAATGGCTCCCTAGGCTAAGTCCAAGGTTGCATATTCCAGTGCACACGGGGACACAAATGAAAAAAGCACCCCCAATACACACAACTACAATAGAGACAGGTGGGGGCTGTGGTGCCTGGGAACACACAGTTGTGCTCCCACAGCTGTGCCACGTGGAAGTGTGGGGCCCTGGCTGCCACCCCTTCTGGTTTTCAAGAGGAGTCAAGTAAAACATTAGCTAAAGGGCTCCCAGATTTGGATCTAGATAGAGGGTCAAGCCCCAACCCCTTAGCCAGGCTTTCTAAGTCCCTCATGGGCCAAGCTGCCTCCACGCCCTCACTGCCTTTGATGCTGCTTCATGAGATGCCTCCAAGATACCTCCATCCCAGACATATGGGGGCCCCTGCCCCCCCAACTCACTTATTCTCTCCTACTTCTGAGTATTTCTCACCCCACAATCCTCCTACAGATGGTGCTCCTCACCTTCTCAATCTAGCAACACATCCTGCGAGGACAGCCCCTGCTCCGGCCTGGCTCTGGGACCCTGTCTTTCCTCCCTACTCCCTCTGCCAGGCCTGGCCCGACAGAGAACTCTCTCTCCTTCAACACCCAGACCTGTCTGACGGACCTATTTGGATCCAGTGGTCCCTGTTCTGGAAGCATCAGCCTCACTGCGCTGTACTAACCTAGATGCCCACCAGCCTCCCCTGTGGACAGGTACCCCCGTGGGCAGCGCTGGACTTCTCTTGCCACAGGCCCTGGCAGAGGAGCCAAGCAAGTGGAAACAGCGGCTTTGGATCAGCCCTCAGCTCTCTACTCCCGTCTGGGAACTTGAGTAAGTTGTTAAACCTCCCCTAGAAGGATAAAAATCATGTACACCTACTGCCCCTGGTGTGTTAAGGCTCAGTGCTTGGCAGCTGTTAGCAGCCTTACCCAATGTGCCTTCCCATTCCTGCCTGGTGTGTGTGCTGTGGGGTCCTCTGTGGGGTGCTGGGGTCTCAGAAGGCAGGGGCATGTCAATGCTAAGTTCTTTAATAGGTGGAGCTGATGAGTCCAGAGGAGGATGAACAGGTGAGGAGGGTGGGTAAGAGGTGGTCCCTCGCTGCCACCAGAGGTATGGTTAGCAGCCATACCCCAGCCATGCACTAGAGACCCAAATGGTGAGACTTTCTGCAACTGCAAAATCATCTTGCAGGTGCTGAGGACTGAGGGTCCCATGTGACCTAGAATCAGGCCAGATCCCAGCACTGCCAGGTAGATGGGGTTGAGGGGCCCGGGTCACTCACCAGATAGGACTCCTCATTCACACAAAGGCCCAGACGCCCACCAAGCCCTCCATTCAGATTCCCACAACTCTAGTTAAAAGCAAACCCTCGCCTTCCACCTGAGGACACAGCTTCCAGGCTGTGCACGAAAGGAAAGGCAGGAGGAGGGCGGGGGGCACATTTGAAATCACTGTGGTCCAATTAGCCCGCTCTCGCCCTTGTGCTTACAAACAGGAGTATGCATTAACACCTGCTACAAAAGCAAACATTTTTAGATATCTTCATCTTCACCTCCTCGACACTCCCGTGAAAGCGGTCTCAGCAGCCAGTAACTGACAAGGTAGTTTCCTTCTTCTGCTTCAGCAGGGGGCTTTCAAATAAAAGAAATTAAAAAGCCACCAATCTCCTTGTCAGGCCAAACTCCTGGGGTTCTACCTGCCCCTTGAGGGCTCCCCCACCCCCTCACTGCTGGGCGAGCGCCGCCAACAGTGGGGGCCAGTGCCCTGGGGATGCAGGGACCCACGCCCATGAGCAGGCAATACTACAGCGAGGAGGGGACCAGGTCTGAGCCCAGGGTTACTGCTTCTTCTGAAGTCAATGAAACACGTGGGGACCCAGCTGTGCAGAATGCCCTAGCACCACCCTGGGAGCATGGGGACCGCTTGGGAAATTCGTCAGAACCTACCGAAAGGACCCTACTCATAACCTGTGACCCACCACCCCAGGCTCTCGAGATAATGCCACTACAGTGGAGTCCCCACATGCCACGAAAACATTCCCAGAGCGCGCTATTGGAAACAACTACAAAATGGAAACTACCCAGATGACCATCAGAAGCAGAAAAGATAAAGGGTGATGCGTTCCCAGAAGGGACAGTCACGTCTGTGAGAAGGAGTGGTGTCCGCCAAGAAGCAAGAGTCAGAGTGAGCAAAAGACACCAGCAGATCCCACTGACGTAAAGTGCAAAAAGGCAAAAGCAGCCTACGCTTTGGACATCAGGGCATGAGAACCTTTTGTTGGTGGGAGAGTCCCAAGAGGGGCAAGAGGGGGCTCCTGGTCATCAGGGTGTTAGTTACACAGGGGGGCTCCGTTGCTGAGCAGTCACTGAGTTATACACTTGAAGGGATTTGTTCTGATGTATGCAATGAACCCATGTATAACAATGCTGTTGGCAGGGCTGCTGTTAAAACTATAAGGAAAAGAGGTTACAGGAGGAAAAGTGAGAGGAAGTTCAGGGTCAGGAAGCTCAATCCTCATTGTTCAGACTACAGGGGCCTTGGAGAAGGTGATCTCCAAAGATCTAAGGGCATCAGGATTCCAGAAGCTTCCAAGGCTCCCTTCCTCAGCCCCATGTGCACCAGAAATCCACCTGTGCCCTCGATGTGGGGGTGGGGGTACGAGGTAGAGGATGTATAGGGCAACCCACACCCAGCAAGTTCTTCTTTATCCTTCCTCTAAACTTCAGGCCAAGTGGGAAGGCTCTGTGATTTTGAAAGCTCCCCTCCTAGCAAGGCTGAATTTTCCAAAGTCCAAAACCACTTGAAGAGGAATAGGAAAAGGACCGAAATAACTTTGCAAGCGTTCTGTTTTGACAACGTGCCTGAGGAATTCACACGTTTAGTGGGGAAATGCAAGCAGTTAAATCTATTCAATGTCATGACATACGAAATTGAAGCATAATTGCCCCTGAGTGCTTGGCAACTGGAAAGCACTTTGTTTCAGAAATGGAGGGAAATTTATGCTGGGAAATGGAAGTGACTGTCAGAAGTTTGACTGTAATGTGAGTGGAGCCGCGACAAGAGGCTCAGATGGATATGGCGCTCAGCTGACACTTTTACTCCCATTTGAAATATCTCAGAAATGGCAGCAGCGGCTCCATCCTTTGCCCTAAAAGCCAGAGAGATGATGATGGGAGCCGCAAGCTTCAAGCCCCGCGAGTGGCTCCAGCACGGTAGCAGGAGAGGCTCTTACCGATCATGTGGTTGGCAACATGGATTTGGATCTCTCTCTCATTCTCGAAGGTCATCTGGCACTTGATGCACTGGTATGTCTTTTTCTGTTTGGAAACCAAAAAGAAAAGGAATGAGACCATTAGGGGGTGGAAAAGAAATGTGAGAGCAGAAAGCAGAAGTTCCTGGAGGTCCTGACTCGAGTTCCCAGAGGACTCTGGGCCCCTCCAGGTCTCTCTGGGCCATCCTCTTCCCACTGCCCCTGAGGCCAGCTCTCCTGTCTGGGGAGAGGAGTGGACTCTCCAGCCTCCATTCAAGGAAGCTGCTCCTCTGCAAGATGAGGGGGAAACTGCCCCACCCCAAGATGAGGACACGGAACAGAAGCACAAAAGGAAGGTGAGGGAGGCTGACCTGCTGGGAGCAGGCCCCAATCCATCTACCTACCTTCCACCTTTTTATCCATACACACACACATCTGTGTGCCCATTCAATCTCACACACACTCACACTCTCTCTCTCTCTCTCTCTCTCTCTCACACACACACACACACACACACACACACACACACACACACACCCATCCGTCCATCCATCTTTCCATCCATCCAACTACTCTCACCTTTTCACATGTCCTGTGAGTCATGGGGCCAAGCAGAAGACACTGCTCCCACCCACTCTGGTGCTCGAGGTAACTGAGGATTTCCTCACATCTACCTTAGGCACATGGGTCCCCGGGTTGACCTGAACACACAGAGAGCTATTACCAGCTGACTCTTGAGGGTACGGGCAGAAAAATGGAGATCATCAAATGCTTTGAAGCTTCTTGAAGACCTATTCCAAAGAGTGGAGCTCACTCTCACCGCTAAGCCTCCTGTGGACAGAGGGGGCGTTAACCTGTGGACAGAAGGGTTGTGGCCGGCAGATTTTAGGATGAGGGAGAAATGGTATCAGGATGCAAAATACCCAAGTTTTCTTGCTCCTGGGAGGATGTCTCTCCAGACCTCTGAAAAGGGAGTCAGACTTCGGTTTTGGCTGAGCACTCGGGTCAAACTCTCAACTGTGCAGCCAGGATGAATCACCAGGCAACTCAGACCCAGCACCCATACCTGCAGCTCCCCTAAAAGGCCTGGTCTCCCACCTCCACACCTCTGCTTATGCTGTGGCCTCGAGAACTCAGTTCAGATGTCACTTCGTCTAAGAAGCCCTCTCTTGCCACTGCAGAGTAAGTTCAGGGTCTCCCCAGGCCCCAAGCTAACCCTGAAAGCATCGAGTTAACCAGTACATGGCTTTCTCGTGGCAGATTGTCTCGTTTGCTCCCCAATGCACCATGAGCACCTAGAGAGCCAGGATGTACTTTGTCCACCTTTGGGATCCCACGGCCACCAAAGACTAAGTGCTTAGGATCTGTTGAACAAATGAGCCAATCTGTAAAATAGCAGGGGGCCTTCCCTCCCCACCCCCATGTTTTAGGAGGCCTGGGGGTCCTTGGTGCAGGTCACAGTACCAGGCCCAGAAACAGGCGCTCTGCATGGAAATGCCCTGAAAGGAACGGGTGAGTCTGCAGGGATAGGACAGGGCTGCGGAGTCCAGTGTCCCCACAGGCAGGGGGAAATGCAGGGGTGGAAGACTTCTGAGGGGGCACATCCCAGTGCCCCATGTCGGCTCATCTCCAGTTTCACACTCATGGAGAAGAAAGACCTTGGGTTTCTCCACTGTCCAAGTCATTCATTCTCTCTCACATGTGTCCCCTACTCACATTGCCTGGCGAGTCTGAGAGCTCTTGATGCTGATATGAATGAATGAATCAATGAATGAACAAGTGGATGCAGTCATGAAGCACGCCCCATGCCAAGGAAGCCAGGGGAAGGCCTGCTAGATGAGGAAGACCAGGCTCCCTACCTGGATGGGAGGTTCTGGAGGCCACAGCCGTGGCTGGTCCAGACCAGTGTGGGGGTCAACCCATGATGGAGTGGTTCTGGCTGCTCCTCCCAGGGCAGGTGAACAAAGGTGGCTTACTATGCTTGGAAGAGTAGTTACTTGGGGTCCAGGCAGGACAATGCCCCGACACCATATGGCCAACCTCAGTGACAGAAAGAGCTCTTCCAGAGGTCTGGGCCCTTCCAGGGGACGGCAGGGGGAATGTCTCTAGGAAATTGCCAAGGAGGGGTCAGAAGGATTGCTGGCTAGAAGAGCCTGGCTAGTCTCTCTGTCTCTCTGTTTCTCTCTCTGTCTCTGTCTCTCTGTCTCTCTGTCTCTCTCTCTCTCTCTCTCTCACACACACACACACACACACACATACACACTCACACAGCCTGTATGCACAGGCATGGATACGCATATGAGGACACGCACACAGATATGTGAGCATACATATGTACACTCCCAACTCACCATCCACACACAAGACCCTCCTGGGCAGTCACGAGCACACACACACACACATAGGCAGGCGCAATGCCCTCAGAGAAGTTGAGGTCCTGTAGATCAAGTTCTCGTAGGGGTACAGGCTCAACTGATCCCCAGAGACACACAAGCCCTCGGGTCCCTCTCTCTGGAGGTCTGATAGTGGCACCCGTCGCTCCCACATATGCCAGCGAATGCACAAGCCGCCACGACACAGATGCACGCACAGGCCCGCCCGGCACAGATGCCTAGACTCACAGGGATGCACCTGCACCACATGCAGGCACACACACACTCACTCACACTTGCACACACAGCTTCATCAGCATCAACCTCACGAAGGCACCGCACAGAGGGAGAGGCCACAGGTGCTCAAGGTCCAGGGCCCAGGGCACCCGGCCTCGGCTGTCGTGTGCTCCTGGTAGGTGACACAATCCTGGGCACCAAGCAGGTGAGGGCTTCCTCACTGTGTCCCTCCAGCTGCACCCTGGGCCACTGGGTCCTCACCCCAATACCTCTTCCTGGTCTTTCCCAGAGCCCCCTCACCTCCTCTGAGCCCTAGCCCAGAGGAGCCATAATCACAGAAAAACAGAAACTGGCATCCAAAGTACCTACTCTGCCATAGCCCCTTCCCCAGCTCAGGAGAAACAAAGCTGAGCCCATGGGGTACAGACAGGAGCTGACCCCAACCTCCAGCAAGGCCCCGCACAACCTCAGAGAGAGCCCAGGACAGGAAAACACACCTGAGCGTGGAGTGAGGAGAGGGACGGGCAGGGAGAGGGGAGAGCGCTGTAGGGCAGTGTGGGCCATTTACTGCCACGGAGCGGCTCGAGTTCACTGAGCATATGCTATGTGCGGGCGCCGTGGCTCTGAACGCTCCCCGCTGCTCAGCAAGCGCCACTCTGTGGAGGGAGACAGTGGAGTTCCGAGAGGCTGAACCACTTGGCCCACACTCCACGCTGGTGAGCAGGAGAACCCGGATCGGGTGGCAGGCAGGCCTTACTGTCTGAACTGCCATCCTGACAGGTGACAAAGCCGGCATGGGTGGACCTGCCCTCCCCCAGGACGTCTGTTTACTCCTCTGTGAGGTGCAGGAGAGAGCACCCAGTCTGCCCTCCTGCAGCGGGAGGCGCCATGAGGATCTGGTGAGTCGACTGGGGATCGGGGTTTGCCCAGGGTGGCCTGGAGTTAGAGTGATGTTGTTATTACCCATAAACAGAGGGGAAGGCAGAAACCTCAACGCTTCACGCTCCAGCCGACAGCAGCCTCAGCCCCACGGGAACCCAGTCCTCCGAGAGCTGGTTGCTATGGATACACTCCCAAGGGTCCCAGCCTGCCAGCCCCCAAGCCCCTGTGCAGCCCCCAGAGTCTGCTCTCACATGCGTGAGTCCTAGGGGAGGAAGGGGTGGGCTAACAGACAGCTGGGCCCCTGCCCCCAGGCGTGCCCAGGCAGGGGGCAAGGCCCCAGGGGCTGTGCCTTACTGGGGAGGCACCAGGCTTTGTCTAGTTTCTTTTTGCAAATGGCCCATCTGCCCAGACCTCTAGATGTGATTCAGTTCACCCCCTCTCTCTCACAAGGCCTGAGACAGGGGGAAGAAGTAGCGGGCTCCCAGAAAACCAGCCCCCCTTGGTTTGAATCCCTGCACGCCATACACAGCAGGGCGTTCTTGGGTATGTGGCCCCACCTTTCTGCGCCTGGATCCCCCCTTTGCCAAAATAGAGGTCGCAGCAAGGTTCCCAGGTTGTTGCCATGGAGACAGTATAAGAGAGGTGCCCAGGAGAGCACCACCTGTCCACACAGTAGGGGCTTTACAAAATGGTGCAGGATGCAGGACCCAGGGCAGGGACACGAGGCGGTGGCTCCAACAGCCCCCGGCTTTGGAGGTACTAACACAGCCTCACAACCAGCAGCAACCCACTGCCGCGGTGGCAGCAGCACCAACAAGGCAGGGATGGGGCTGGGGCTAGGAGGAGGGGTACAGGGCCTGGGCCCAGCCACACCGTCTTGGTGTCTGAGCAGCCCCAGACCCCGCAGCCTCTCCCCTCTTTCGACCAGGATAGGCCCCCAGCGCTGGCTAGTCTCTTGGTTAAGAGCCAGATTATGCTCCACACACTCCCTGCGGTCAGGCTCCTCTGCGTCGTGGAAGCTGGGCGCCCAGGCAAACTCCCTCACTGCTCCGAGCGCCCACTTGCTCACTGTGCTTGTATTAAACAGACATAAAGACCTTGGCACACCTCTGCCCCTTGGTAAGATATGATTTAAAAAAAGGAAAACTAGCAAGTGGCGCTTACTGCATGCCCAGCACTTCCTGTACTCATTTAATCCTGGGGGCCAGTGCTGAGGTCAGCATGGGGGTGGTGACAACATTCACTGGCTGATGAGGAACAGGGACCAACCTAATAGCAAGTGTGAGTTAGAAAACAGAAGGGCCTCCCCAGGCCTGCCAGTGGGGCCAGCTTTGCAGACTGACACTATTGCTACTCTGATTCCACTTTACTGTTACTTTGTACTATCACTACCATTATTACTTATCACTAGCGCTAGTATTTGCTGCGATTATTACTATTACTATTTCCTTCTGGCTTTACTAGTGCGCCCCAAGTTCACCCACACTGGAAGACCAGCAAGCTGAGGCTGAGGAGACAGAGTGGACAGCAGTGACCAGGCCACGTCAGGACCTGTAAAGGGTGTCCTACTAGACACTTGCCTAGAGGTCTGGCTCGGTCAGAAGAGTTTGAGAGGGTGGGACATTACCGCCCCTAAAATGAGCTCTCTGCTCTAGACAACCTAGCTGGACACGTGGTGTGCAGGACACACCTCATTCAGGTGTGTCCCTCTCCAGCCAGGGTCATGGACAGGTGCCTCTAACTGCCTGGACCTCATGTGGGAGCTGGGCCTGGAGGCCTCGACTGTCCCTTCCACCCTGGGTTCTCCCTTCACTCTCTTAGCCCTCCTCCTCACTCTCGCCCTCAAATCCCAGTTCTGCTCCCACAGCAAAACACCCTCAGCAAATATCCCTGTCTTCCAGCAGGCACCTGTCACGGGTGCTCCTTCCCCAAATCTTGCCTCCCTGCCAGTGGCACCAAAGCAGCCCTTGTGGGAAAGATACTCCTGAGATCTGCCTGGCACCTCCTTGGTCTGGAAACAGATAACACAACTCAATGGCAATCCCCGTTCTGGGCTCACCCAAGGACCACACAGACTGCAGGCCACCATCAGGCCCCCTCGGCTGTTGGACCCAGAGCCTATGCACCTTGCCAATAGCCCCAACTCCCCCTGCCTCATTGAAACCACTGTTTATAGGCCTGAAGTTCCCCCAGGTCAGGGATCCACCGAGGCAGGGTCTATTTCTGATTCTCCTTGGCTGCCAGGAACTCCCAAACATAACGGGTGCTCACAACAAATTTGATGAACCAATCAATCCATCCACCCAACCTTAATGATGCCAGTAACTGGAACCATTCCTGGGGCTGCGCTAACTGTGATGACATTGCAGATGATAACAGTATCGATGGGTGATTACAGCCAGCACGACACGCCCTAAGGGCCAGGTTCCAAGCCCTTTATGTACAATTAGTTCTATGAATTGTTAAAGGAATCCTGGATCTAAAGCCCAGACAGCAGTGACTTGCCCAAGAAGACCCCACATGCCAGAGACTAAGCCCACCCAGATCAATGACCACAGTGACAGCCATCACTAACGGGGCTTCCGGCATTTCACACACAGCCCAGGCCCTATGTTACGCCCCGTCCTCTCACAACAATGCGACACGAGACCCATTATCATTCCCCTTTCACAGATGAGCACTTGACAAATGAGGCCCAGAGAGAGATAATATATGTCACATCACACAGCTGAAAGGGGAGCGGCAGCAGCAGGTTCAAACTCAAACTCGACTGACAAGCAGATATGCTGATGGAGCTGCTTCTCTGGGCTAAAAAAGGGGTCACCACCAGGACACTTTGGGGGTTCCTTGGGGTAGTGCAAGGAGCAGGGGGCCAGCCCAGGCAGGCTCACTTACCCGGGGCACTGGCGATGTCTGGGCGCCTTTCCGGGGCCCACTGGTCTCTGGCGTGAGGTCCCGGTGGTCCGTCTGCATGTGGCTCTCCAGGTCCTCGGCACTCTCAAACTTGACACTGCACTCGGGGCAGCGGAGGCCAGTGCAGGGCCGGTCGGCAGGCTCGGGTGGGGCCAGGCCACCCACCTGTCCGTTGGCACTGCGGGCCATACAGCCGGCACAGAGGCCGTAGGGCAGCCCATTGACGTCCAGCTTCACCAGGTCCTGCTTGCTGCGGAACTCTTTGAGACACAGGGCACATTTGTATAGCTTCTGCAGCCCCTGGCCGTTGGGGGAGGATGCAGCCGAGCTGCCCGCCAGCTTCTGCATGTGGAAGGTGCCGTGGATCTTGAGCTCCAGCGTGGAGGTGACCGTCTGCATGCAGACCACGCAGCGGAAGCCCGTGAGCGAATTGCGCAGGTCCGGGTGCATCTGGCAGTGCTCGATGAACTCCTCCTCGCTCTGCAGGGGCATCTTGCAGATGCGACAGGTGCCCGTGTCCAGGCTCTTGCTGTGGGTCACCTTGTGCTCAGTGAGCGTCAGCAGCGAGGGGAAGCGCTCACCGCAGATGGGGCACATGTAGTGCTTGGCAGGGCCACGGTGTGTCTGGAGGTGCTCCCGGAGCCCATTCTCCGAGAAGAAAGTCCGCGAGCACACGTTGCATTTGTGGCTGCCCTTGATGAACTCGGCCTTCTTGCGCGAGCCGTCGTCCTCGCCCGGCCGGATGTTGTGGTCCCGCAGCCGGTGGTTCTGCAGAAGCACCTCCATGGTGTAGGCCGCCCCGCAGATGTCACAGCCGTACATGGGCTCCGAAGCGTCCACGTCATCCTCGCTGGCCTCGTGGCTGTTGGGCGCCTCGGGGTTCTTGAGCAGCATGCCCTGCAAGTCAGCGGGCTCGGCCTTCTTGGTGGCAGCAGGGGGCACCCCATTGGCCGTGCCGTTCTCTGTGGCAGCATCAAACACGCAGTGCTTCTCCCGCAGGTGCTTCTCCAGCAGGATGATGGCATGGAAGGCCTTGCTGCAGAACTTGCAGTTGTACTTCTTGCTGTGGGTGGTGATGTGGCACTGCAGCTCCACCTCGGTGCTGAAGGTCTCCCCACAGAAGATGCACTTGTGGGCCTTGGCCGGGTTGCCCAGGTGGCTGTGTTTGACGTGCACCTGCAGGTCGGCCTCCTTGCGGAAGTCCCAGTTGCAGGCTGTGCAGCGGTACATCTTCTTCTCATTGCTGTGCTTCACCGCCAGGTGCACCTGGATGGACACCTTGGAGTCGAAGACCTCCTGGCACAGGGTGCAATGGTACAGCACGAAGGTATGCATGTCCAGCAGGTGCTTCTGCAGGTCGTCCACCGAGGAAAACTGCTTGTCGCAGCTCTCACATACATAGTGGGTGGACGTGGTCATATAATGCACTGTCAGATGCTGCAGGAGGGACTCCTGGGAGTCAAAGTCCTCTTTGCACTGTGGGCACGCCTGCTTCCGCAGCAGCAGCTCCAGGTGCAGCTTCAGGTGGGTCTGGAAGCTCTCAAAGTTGGAGAACTTGAGGTCACACTGATTACAGGGGTACTCGCCGTTGGAGATGGAGTTGGCACTGGCCGAGAGCCGCTGCCTCTTTGGGGAAGACACCTCGACGTCAGACGAGACCGGACTCTGCTCTGCCTTGGACTTCTTGCTGTGGGCCAACGGAATGTTCTTGTGGTTCTCCTTGATGTGCTTGGTAAGCTTCAGGATGGAGCCAAAGATGGGCGAGTTGGTGCAGTAGGGGCAGGAATAGACCTCCATGAAGGACTGCGTGGGCTGCACCACCGGGGACTCCAGCTTGGCGCTGCCAACACTGCAGTGGGCCTGCTGGATGTGCTCGGTGAGGGAGGACTCGGTGAGGAAGCCCATGGAGCACTGGTTGCAGAAGAAGGCGTTACTGCCATCGGGCGGGTTGGCGTTGGGGCCACAGTGGGAGACGCGAATGTGCTCCTGCAGGCTGTTGATGTCGGCGAACATCTCGGGGCAGTAGTTGCAGTGGAAGGCGGAGATGTTGCCAAACTGCATGACGGGGTAGGCGTGGCTCTTGTGCAGCTTGCGCACATGCTCGTTGAGGTTGTACAGGGTGGGCATGGAGTCCAGGCAGATCTGACACGTGTGACTCTGCTGGGGCTTGTCCGCGTGGATGGTCTTCAGGTGGATCTCCAGCACAGCTAGGCTGTTAAAGTCCCGCTTGGAACAATAGGGGCAGCTGTAGACCACCTTGGACCAGCCCTGCCCATCATCCCGCATCTTCTTCTGGCCCCGCAGCGGCTTCAAGGTGGAGTCCGGGGTGGAGCCGCGCTCCACGGAGGCGCTGGAGTCCGGCGTGGCGCTGCTCATGGAGGCCACGCTGCCCAGCACGGGGTCGGGGCTGACGCTGTGGTTGCTGGAGTCGGGCTGCCGGTGGCTGTCCAGGTGGCAGTAGACACCCTCCACCGAGGAGAACTGCTCGGGGCACATGGGGCACTTGTGTTTCTGGTTGGCGTGGGCTTGGTGGATGTGGGCAAGCAGCACGTTCTCGTCGACAAAGACCTCGGGGCAGTGGATGCACTGCAGGTCGGCCTTCTCGGAGAGCTGGGGGTGGCGGGTGAGCACATGCTTCTCCAGCTCCTCGGTCTGGCTGAAGGTGTCTTCACAATAGTCACACATGAAGTCGTCCTTCTTGGCCTCCTTCTCCGACTTGGCCAGGTGCTCCTTGTTCTTCTTGTGGGCCTGCATGTGGCTCTGCAGCGAGCTGGTGGAGGAGAAGCCCCGTTTGCAGACGGTGCACTTGAAGGGCTTGCTGGAGCTGTGGGTCTTCAGGTGGATCTTGAGGTGGTCGCTGCGGGAGAAGGCCGCCTCGCACTCGTGACAGTGGTACTTCTTGTCGCCCGTGTGCAGCTTGATGTGCCGGTCACGGCTCCTCTTGTGCTTGAAGAGGCGGCTGCAGTAGGTGCACTTGAACGGCAGCTTGTCACTGTGGATCTGCTCGTGCCTCTTCAAGTAGCTCAGGCGGATGAAGGACTTGTCGCAGAACTGGCAAGGGTACGGCAGCCCCGTGCCCCCTTCCTCCTCACCCAGGCCGAGGTCACACCCATCTCCAATCATCTGCGTGGGTGACGCAACATCCTTGCTGGAGGGAGATGAGGCCACCCAGGAGAGTTGTGGGTCGTCGTCACCATCTGCAGGGGGAAGGCAGAAAGGAGATTAGAGGCAATTCCCAGGGCCGCCGAGAAACAAGGACAGAGCCAGCTTCTCGACAGCTCGTGGGCTGAGGCTGTGCAGCTGGCCAACTGCGGCAGGGGGTGGGGAGGGAGTCCAGGGGCCCGGAAGCAAGTGGATGGACATGAGGGCCTTGCAGTCTGCAGAGGAGATGGCAGGATATGGAAGGGACGTGCCTTTTCCCTCGGCAATACCTGCCAGGATGAGGCACCCCCAGAGGTTTCTGCTTCCCCGATCGGGATGGGGGTTAGGGGGGAGGGGTGACAGCCTGGACAAAGGCACCGGAAATGACCTCACAGACCATCGGTCCCAGAAGTCAAAAGGAGGCAAGTCCTATCACCTGTTCACACAACCTGGGAACTGACTCCCCTCCAGCCCCGAGTCCTGGTGGGAATCCTGCTGGGTCCTCAGGGGCACAGGCAAAATTTTGCAGGAAAATAAAATGCACTTGAATGAATCTGTCCATACCACATTGTGTGGGGTTGGAGGGACTGGTGAAGCTGGAGCTGCTGCTTCAGGTAGCAGACAGACATAGGCGGCGAAGTCACGGCCACATAGCATCAGATCCAAGGGCAAAACAGGAAGGAAGCAAAGGGCACTTGAGAAGGGTCTGTGGGTTTCCCAGCCCAAGCCATCCTAAGCCGGGAGTTCTTCTCTGTTTCCTCTTCGCTCCTGGATCCACCCCAAGTCGACCCAGTTCCCCAGGAGATGGCCCGATGATGCAGTGATCAAACAAGGAACCAGGACCCAGATGGGCAGCGCTCAGAGCCTAGTGGGCCCTTAAAACCCCCGTGGCGGGCGAGGGAGGCGTGCCTTGCAGAGTCCCGCCGGTCATCCTCCCGGGGGACAGGGCCGCCCCGCCCCCAGCCTTAGCAGGCCCGTCCAGCCTCAAAAGAAAACTAAACAAACTAGGGCTGCTGTTTCTGGGAAAACAAAGGCACACAGGACACGGCAAATAAAGCCAGAGAGTCCCTGCCTCGGTGGGGTTGAACCAAGCGGGGAATGAGTTCCACAGCTCAAGTTTCGTGCCGGGTGGATTTAAAACTTAATAATGAATGAAACAGACCACAGGCTGCTGTGGGCAGGAGCGAGACAAACAAAAGCTCAAATTTGGCTGCACTGACCTTGCTCTTGTAACCCAGAGGGAAAAAACCACTGCCCCCGCCTCTCCAGGCCCCCGTCACCCCAGCTTAGTCTTCAGAAAAGCCTCGCAGCCCGAACCCAGACAGTCTTGGCCAGAGGCAGCCCAGACCCAGTTCAGGGTAGGCCAGGGGGACCACAGACCCCGGCATGGGTAGGTACTTGACACACATAAGCATACACAGCTCACATGTCACTCCCACAACTCACACTCACCTTCAAACACACACTCTCACGGTCATATATATCCAGTCACATACTACCATTCCCACTATCACTCACACACAAGTTGAAACATAGGGGTACACACACTCATAGGCACTCAACACACCCTCACCCGCAGGCACACACACTCACACACACTATCGCGCTCACACAACCAGAAGGGTACAACACAGACCTGGGGTCCCAAACACCCCCTCCCACCCCACTTTCCACTGTGCCTCTGCTGTTCTAGGCCAACCCCAAGACATGGAGAGAGAAAGCCCCATGCTGGGACTTTAGGGCTGGCGGCCTCCAGAGTTTACTAGGCCTTCTCCCAGGCCCCACCCACCACCAACAGCCCACAGCCCCAGGCCCTGACCGTGTGAAGGTCTGCCTGACCCCACTTGGCACCACAGGCAGGGCTGGCAGAGCTCTGCCTGGAAGGCTGCGGCTCTCCAAAGCTCCCAGACCCGAATCCTGCATCTCCCAGCAGCCTCCCACCTCTGAAGCTCAGCCACCCAGCCTGCGCGGGGCGCCTCCCAGAACACCCTCCCGGAGTGAGGGTGCCTGCTCCCCTGGGGGCCTCACATTACGGGGCCCTTTGGATGGGAAGGACGCAGCCGCTGCCAGTTCCTCAGATTAGATGCAGCGGGAGGCGCCCCAGCCATTGCCTGCCAATTCCCAGCTCCTGCCAGCTGGGCTCCGCCGGGCGCAGACAAAGGGGCCCAAGGGAGGGGATGGCTGGAGCTGGGGCAGCTGGGGGACCTGCTCGGCCCCCACCCCCTGGCCAGGCTCAACCTGCTTTTATTATTTTGATGTCTTAGCTCAGCACACAGAGCCCTTCCTATGCACCCAGGTCTCTGCTAAACACTTTTAGTCACCAATGAGGTGGGCACCAGGACCCCATGGCTGTTTAACGAGGAAACTGAGGCACAGCCACAGCATCATTCCCCAGGAAATGACAGCACCAGTCAGTACTATCCAGTCAGACCCCTTGACAAGGGTCTTGATGGGCCCCCACCAATCAGTCCCCAAGACTACGCCTGCACAGGTGAGAAAGGAAGAAAGAGGAGACTCTCAAGAGGAGACTCACAGCCCCCCATGCCTCCTTTGAGCCCTCTCTGAGCAAAGAAAGGAACCCCCTTTCTGCAATTCCAGGAGGACCCCACTGAGGCCTTGCGGGAGCTTGCTGGCACGCTCAGGTGTGGATTGCTCATGGGCTGAGCCCAGTTAGTTCAGGGCAAGTGAGACAAGGAAGACACCTCATCCAATAAACCCAGCCTGCACACAGCTTTTCTGACAAGGTTCACTTGCTCCCAAACCCTCGCAGCCCCAAGATCAAAGCCCTGCTTCTCTGTTTATGTGTCTGCCCAGGGAAGCATTCCCTCAAACTTCAGACTCTTTACATATTTGGATAAAGAAAATTTATTGTGGGGCCTCCCTGGTGGCGCAGGGGTTAAGTCTCAGAGCTATGATGCTAGCACCAGCCACTGCGGCAAGAGTTTGATCCCTGGCCAGGGAGCTGATCCACATGGTGCAGCAGACCTCTCCTGTCTCGCCCGCTGCTCCCCTCAGCAGTGTGTTTCAGTAGATCCACCTGTTCTGCTCCCCACTCTGTTTCTGGTAGATCCTCTTAGCATCTGTACCTCTGGCCTACACCCCAATCCTTATAAGCATAAATAAAATAAATCTTTTAAAAAAAAGTTATTGTGAAGAGTGGGTGAGAAAAATTAATGAAAAACCGCTATTACCCATTTACATAAAATGTCCAGAAAATGCACATCTGTAGAAACAAAGCAGATTAATGGTTGCCTTGGCCTGCAAGAAAGAGCAGATACCAACTGCAGAAGGGCAAGAAGCATCTTTCTGAGATCCTGGAAAGGCTCTGTAACTTGATTGTGGTGAGGCCTGCACAACGCTGCAAATCCACAAAAGTCGTTGACTAGTTCACTTAAAACATAAATTTTATGATAAGCAAATTATACTTCAATAAAGCTGTTAAATAAAAGCACTATTTGGCCAATAATAATAATTAGTACTAATGAGTACCACTACTGCTAATATTATTAGCAGCTCCATTTATTGAGCATGTCCCAAGTGCCAGCACTCGGCTAAGTGCTTCTATTACCACAATTAATTTCTTTTCATCCTCATAACCATCAGGAACACCCCATCTCTGAGATGAGGAAGCTGAGACTCGAGTTGGTAAGTAATATGCCTTCAGCCCCTCCCCCTACCCTCCCCCCAAGAGACCCCCAAGGGATCTGGTCAGAGCACCACGTCTCCCAGAAAGGAGAACCCTAATCTGCCTGCCAGCGCCACAATCCCTGGGGCTCATTGTGGGGCTGCCTGGTTGGCTTTATTTTTCTGCAAACAAGTTTCAAAACTAAAGCAAAGCACATTATTCTGGGAGCAACAAACTGAGCAACTGCTGAGATTATAATCATGTGAATTGAAATGAAAAATAAGGCTGCTTACACTGAAAAGGCCCAATCAGGGGAAATAGCCATGTTGACATATAAAGTCCCAAACTCAGATGGCCCTGTTGAAAGCCTTTTATTCTAATAACATTTAACCTTGGCGGCTGCTGTCCCTTCCCTCCCAGTGCATTTTGCTTCGGGAACAAGCTGGAGAGATGAGCAGGGCCAAGGCGCTGGGGTTGCACGTGCGGGAATGTGGGCAGAGGAAGGTCCCCTCCTTGCTGTATAACACCCCAGCGCTGAGCAGCAGGCGCCAGTCGGGAGCAGTTGTTAGGGTACACACAGCTGGCGGGGGTGCAGGACCTGGGTGAAGGCAGCAAGCACCACGGTCCCTTTCAACCTGAATATTCTAGAGAACTTCGACAGCAACTTGAGTGCAGGAAGAAGGAAGGTTTAAGAAAAGTCCACTTCTTTGGGTAATGTGTCTGTAAAGATGTCTTTGAGGTGCATGTCATATAGTGTTTCACCTATATTTCCTTCTATATATTTTATGGTTTCAGGTTTTATGTCTAATTCTTTAATCCATTTTGAGTTGTTTTTTATGCATGGTGTGAGGTAGTAGTCAAGCTTTTACACTAGCTAAGGATCTTTTAAAATAGCTTTAAAAGCTTTTAAAATAGCTCACTGGATCAAGAAGATGTGGTACATATACACAATGGAATATTACTCAGCAATCAAAAAAGATAAACTCATGCAATTTGCAGCAACATGGATGGAGCTGGAAGGGATCATGCTCAGCGAAATAAGTCAGAAAAAAAAAGAAAAAGAACGGATGGTCTCACTCATAGCAGGAATTTAGAAAACCTAAATAAGGGACCAGGAAAAAGACTAATTAATACAAAGTAAAAATCAAAATCAACAAGCAACTATAAACTAGAGACACACTGCGGGGGTGGGGGCGGGGAGAGGAAGAATTAGTGTCAAAATAAGGGGGGGTTGCAACTGTATGGGGAACATAACCAAAATGAAAATGCATACATTATGCAAAAATGAAAAATGATGTAAGAATTATATAAAATAAAAATAAAAAAAAGAAAAGTCCACTTCAACCAACCCACTTCTTTATTTCCCAAAAACTGCTCATATAGATTTTACTGTGCCCAACTGAGATAGGTACTATTATTATTACTCCCATT